TTAGAGGGCGAGACAGAGAAGGGGCATCTAGCCCGGTCCAGAGAAGGTCAAAGCAGGCTTCCTGGAGGAGGTGACCTCAAGTAAGAATGGAGGCTCTTTCAGAGAGGTAAATCAAGCCAGAGGGATCAGCATGATGGTTGGGACAACTGCAAGGAATTCAGTATTGCTGGACCACAAAGGGCAGCAAGGCAGAAGCCAGCAAGAAAGATGCTGGGGCATCTTCCGTGCCGGGGAAGTTTCCAAGGAGCCCGGGCTTTATCCTGAAGGCAGCGGGCAAAGGCAAAGAGCCTGTGAAGGGTTTGACACAGCAGGTGCTGTGGCCAGTATTTGTAATTTGAACAAATCACTGCAGGGCAGCAAACGTATTGGGCTGCATGAATCACAGATTGCCTGGATTTCTCAACGATGCACCATCTCCCTGCTCCACATCCTGCCCCAGGCAAAATAGAGATGCTTCATCCCAGCAAAATGTCACCTTCTGCCCACTGTGGTTTTATTCTAATCTCCAAAAACTACAGCCCAGGAGTTTCAAGTAGCAGGATTTTGATCTGACGGCAGCTTTGCTCTGTCAACAGTTTTAGCAAAAACTCCTTCCACCTCTGCAGGCAATTTAGAGATAGCATTTCTGAAATGGTCTGTGGATAAAGGATGTTGCTGCTCTGGGAAAACGTGTCTGTCTCCTGCCAGGAAGAGACAAAGCGCGCTGAATCCGTGCCAAAGGATGCTGCCCAGAAAGGGAAGGTCACACAGCCCTCAGCAGTTCTCTTTTTGAAGTCCAGCCTTTTTCCATTTTTACATTAGCATCGACTTCCACACACACCCCCACATGCCCTTGGGGGCAAGGTTAAATGATGATTGTTAAGAATGTTATGTACTTTACCAAAACTCCAGTCTTGCCCACTGGGAGGGAAAAGCTACAGTGAAGACACAAGGATGCCCACGGAACCGAGTGCAGACCAGAAAAGAATCCCGTGGCCTGTCCAGCAATCCCCTGCCATTCTTCTCAAATACTGTGGCTGAGCATATCAAAGCCTGCCTGGCACATAATCGATGTTTAATAGCTGCTCTGTGAATGAGTGAGACTCTCATATAGAATATCAAATCTGCAATATAAACCGATATCTCAGCAGAGGTACAATATCCCCAATTTCACCTTCCTGGGATATCGCTAAAGAGATGGGAGATGTCATGGAAAACTTCAAGAGTTTCCCCTGAAACCTGAGATTCTTGGCACCACCAGGAAAGACTTTTCCTTTTCAGGAGAACGGATGGGGATGAATGGAATCAGGACCACTGTCCCTAAGAAAGGCATCCCCTGCACCCCTGCCACAATAAGGCCGCATGTCTGCCCTGAGACATGAGAATGCGGAACCCCTGCTGGAAGCTTCTCTGCTCAGACGTCCACATCCTTGCCCTTTCCATACTCACATCTGCCAAAGAGTCAAGCTCCACGCTGTGCTTGGTTCAGACCCGTCAGAAGCAACTTAGATTTTTATACAGATGGAGAAGTGAACAAGTCCAGCCTACAGTGGAGGGTTGATTAACATCAGTGTGGACATTTCATTTCCAGCTGGTGGGTTACGCATCGCAGGTCCAGTGAGTTCGTTTGCAGCTTAGGGGAATAAATCCGAAGGCTTGTAACAAATGCACTCTTTAATGTAATGTCCCTTAATGAATGTGTCTTACAAGCTGTGCAGTCATCACAAGCCTCGTGGTTAAAGGTAATGTTCCTGGCTGGTGGGGACTAAAATAAAATTTTAAGGCTCATGCCCCCACCGGCTGACTAAATGGACCCCCTCGTGGCCAAAGGAATATCGTAAAACTAAATTACCTGCCAGGAAAAAGGTCAGATATGCCTTATCACGCCCCCCTCCCTTCTTGGGGACACCCTTTGTAACCCATTAACAGGCCTCAGGGTATGCAAGACAAACCTGCAGGTCCTCAGTTTACACAACAAACATATGTCCAGTGGCTTATCTCTGATAAACAGCTCCTTAGGTTAAAACATTCCAAGCCTTTAGACAAAGCTTCAGGTCTTTAACCAAATTACAAGCCAAAGAATCTTTAAACCCACCTGTAACTTGTAAGCCCCCACTTCGAGATGGCGCATTTTTTCGGGCCAAACCAATGTATGCCTCCCACGTATTGATTTATGACTTTACCTGTAACCCCTGTCTCCCTGAAATGTATAAAACCAAACTGTAACCCAACCTCTGCGAGTCTACTTGCTCAAGACCTCTTGGGCGTGGCTCCGGGTCATGGTCCTCGAATGTGGCTTGGAGTACATCTCTTTAAAATTATTTTACAGAGTTTGGTCTTTTTTCCGTTGACACTGGGAACATAACCTTTTACACCTGTAATCCTAGGACTCTGGGAGGCTGAGGCAGGAGGATTGCTTGAGCCCAGGAGTTCAAAACCAGCCTGGGCAATAACAAGACCCTATCTCTACAAAAATTTTTTTTTTAAATTAGCCAGGTGCGGTGATGTGCGCCTATACTAGGGAGGCCAAGGCAGGAGAATCACTTGAGCCCAGCAGGAGTTTGAGTTGCAGTGAGCTATGCTGATGCCGCTGCACTGGAGTCTGGACGATAGAGCTTTGCCTGGTGCAATTGCCCCACCCTAATCCTCTCCAGACCTGGGGGAGGAGGGAATACCCTACTGAATCTGCCAATCAACTTAGCTCGCCAGCTGCAAAAGAATGCGGAGGACTCTCTAGCCCACTGGCCAAGCAGCATAGGTACCACAGAGTCTGGAAATTGACCTAGAACAACCCTCATGCCTAGTAATACAACTCCCAGCTGTCCAATCAAAGTGGTTCCATGATGACATCTGAGCCACCAGGGAGGTCCCAATCTGGGCACTATAAAAAAAGACACAGATCATAACCAAGGCCCTTTTTGCGCCCTTCCTTTTGTTCTCCTTTTCCTGCAACAATGGGTCCCGTCGTCATCTGTGGCGTATGCATCACGCTCTGTAAACCTGTATCTTGCTCTTGCTCTATAATCTTATCTTTCCTCAATGAACCTCATTTTCGTGCTTGCCTTACTTCAGTGTGTCTGGTCGTTCTTGACCATGAGTGCACCAAGAACCAACGTTTCACACTGAAACCTGACATATATATGTCTTCCTTGTGTGTGTATATATATCTCATACATGTATGTTTCAGTATGTTTACATTCATCATTTTAAAGGCGGAGCCTTGTGCAGCTGCCCTGTTTTTATACGCAAGCTTCCTATCCTTACTCTGCACTCCGCAGCGTGGAACTAGAGCTGTGCTGAAGGATACAAATGAGCCCTGAAACAAGGAGTTAGGCTGTGCCTTTCCACCCAAGCAATGCTGCGATGGGTCTCAAATCAGACAACGTCTCCTTGCCCCGAAGCTCAGCCAACACACACAGAGACACGTGGCCGCTCCTGCAGAAAGTTTTACATGTCTTCCAGGGCCTCTTCCCCACAGCCAGCCTTCAGGTAAGGAACAGAGAGGTGTCCGTGATTGCAGGAACATTTGAAAAATGGCAGTTCCACAAAATATACCTCCTCAGGTCAGGGATGACTTAGTCCCTTGTTAAAGAATAACTCACCGACCAAATAAATCATCGTATAGACCATGTCTGGATTCCAGTTTGAGTAACTGTAAAGCAAAACGGAACGATGGGGGTATCTGAATACCAACTGGAAATTGAATGATATGGAGTTAACGTTAATCTTTTTTGAGGCGGTAATAATGTTTTTGTTTTTTAAAAAAAGAGTTCTTTTATTTCTTAGAAATAGATACTGAAGTATTTACAAATGAAATGATATCTAGGATTTGCTTTAAAGTAACGGAGCAGGAGAGAGGACAGTTTAGGTGAAAAAAATAATGGCCATTTGTTGATAATTGTTGAAGCTGGATGACAGGATTCGCTACACTATTCCGTTTTTGTGTATGTTGGAAAATTTCCATTTTTAAAAAAAAAAGGCAAAAGGAAAAAAAGGTAGGAAGAATCTATTTATCGGCCATTCCTAATGGCAGGTCTGGGTAACAGGACTCTGCCATTAACAAACTGTATGACTCTGGGCAAGTTGCTCCATGTCTTGGGACCCCAGCTCACTGATCTGTAAACTGTGGCCTTTGGGTGAGATTTCTCTTGGGGTCCCGAGAAGCCCAGGAGCCTAAGGGCATTGAGGAGGGCAAGTGCAATAGCGGGAATGGCCTGGGAAAAAAACGGCAAAAATGTTTTCTGTCTCTTTAAAACCTCACCCACTCTTTTTGGGAACTAAAACCTGCCCTGCCTCTGGCCAGTGGTCCAGAGGGGGAGGGGAGCTTCCTTTGTTCTTTGTGCCACAGGAGATGGCTCAGCAGAACTGTTTGGGCGAGGTCCTGGGCAAAGGTCACGGGATTGTTTTCAGTGGAGATGGGACGGTTCCCACTGTAGTTGAACAACAATAGCCTAGAACTGAAAACCCTCCCTTTAAAACCTCTGTATTTCTGCTTATGATTAGGAATCGGTACTTTTAGACAGGAGTCTAATTAATAAATCTCTCTTTCCTTCTAATCAAACCACCTGTCCTCGTTCTTCTGACAGGGCCTTGAGGACAAGTGCTGAGCTTTCACTAACACAAGAACTCAACAGTCAGGGCAACATGGACTGCAACCTCAGCTCTGATACCTGTATGTGACTGTGAACACTGCCCTTTCCATACCTCAGTTGTCCTATCTATAAAAATGACATTCCTATCTCCTCGGTGGGAATGTTAAATAAATCAAAACATGTAAAGGGTCTGGCACGGTGGTTGACAAATATTAGTTTCCCCTCTCAATTTCTCTATTTTGCCCGGGACTGGTGATGTTCACATTCAAGACCTGCCTGAACACGCAACCCCTCCACCTGGATGCAAAGTGCAAAGGGGCAAGAAACTGCAGGCGGCGCAGGTGCGCGCACAGCGCCCTCGCGCGCCGAGCTGGGGAACGGCCCCGGGCGCCGGCCCCGCCCATCAGCTCCTGCGCCTGCGCAGAGACGCCGCCCCCGAAGTTTGTTGTGACCGGCGTTCCGGACGCTTGTGGCGGCTGCGGCCGCAGGACCGGGCCGCGGCGCCAGCATGGCGGTGCGACAGGCGCTGGGCCGGGGCCTGCAGCTGGGTCGGGCGCTGCTGCTGCGCTTCACGGCCAAGCCTGGCCCGACCTACGGCTGGGGGCGGCCTGGGCCGGCGGCGGGCTGGGGCCGCGGAGAGCGCCGGGGCTGGGCCGCAGGACCCGGAGCGGAGCCGCGCAGAGTCGGGCTTGGACTCCCCGACCGCTACCGCTTCTTCCGCCAGTCGGTGGCCGGGCTGGCGGCGCGGCTGCAGCGGCAGTTCGTGGTGCAGGCCCGGGGCGGTGCGGGCCCTTGCGGCCGGGCCGTCTTTCTGGCCTTTGGGCTGGGGTTGGGCCTCATCGAGGAGAAGCAGGCGGAGGGCCGGCGGGCGGCCTCGGCCTGTCAGGAGATCCAGGTGAGCGGGGGCGGGGCACAGGGCGGGGCTAGGAGGGGCGGGTCCTGAGCCACATATGGGGGCGGGGCTACGTGCGGGGGCGGGGGCGAGCGATTGTTAAGGTCTGTCTTTGGAAAATCACCAATTAAGGTTCATTTATTTCACCGTGACTGATCATATGATATAAATCCAGAACCTCACATTCGTTGTATGGTTTCCGTTCCTCAAACAGCATGTTTTAGAAGCTACGTTGCTAATTATAGCTCCAGATGTACCATAGCAAATGGCTTAGTGTAAATTTTCTAAAATTTAATGATAACTAAATCATGACACTCCTATCCATTGGGGTAGTCGTCATCCCCAAGTTATGGAGGAGGAACCGTTCTCAGAGAGGTGAAGCGACTTGCTCAAAGTCACACAGCTAATAAAGGGCAGCGTGCAAATTCTGACTTTCCAAAGCCTGTGCTCTTAACCGCTGAGCCTGCCTGCCTCCACAGTTTAGCCAAACGATTAGTCAATAAAATAGCTGAAACCACGGTAAGAATGATGAATGACAACAAAAAACATCAGACCTTAAATTGTAGTTAACCTGTGAATAGTCATCCCTAGTGACTGGATTCATAGAGGTTCTCAGGCTTTCCGAATGCTTAAAGTAGCATGGAGGCTACTGTTTCTGCTCAACCAAAGTCATATTAGTTGGGGTTCTCTAAACAGAATAAGTCCGATGTGTCCAGAGAGAGAGATTTACTCTAAGGACTTGGCTCACTGTGGAGACTGGAAAGTCTAAAATCTGCAGGATAAGCCGTCAGGCTGAGACCCAGGGAAGACCAGTACTGCAGTTCAAGTCTGAAGCCTGTCTGCTGGCAGAGGCAGACCTTCTTTCAGGAGGTCACTCTTTTTTAAAAAAATTTTTGTAGAGATGGGTTCTTGCTATGTTGCCCAGGCTGGTCTCAAACTTCTGGCCTCAAGTGATCCTCCCACCTCGGCTTCCCAAAGTGACAGGATTGCAGGCCTGAGCCACTGTCCCCAGCTGAGCCCCTGCATTTTACGAGTTAGGACTGAGGTGGTGGAAGATGGAGTGACTTGCTCAAGGACACAGCTGTTAGGACCAAGCAGTGTCTCCTGTGTTTCCTGGTTTCCAGCCCAGTTCTTGTTCCTCATCACCAGTGTCTCATGTTTGAGCTCTGTCCAGCTTGGGGTGACAGGTGACATCTGGCCTAGTCCCCAGCCCCTGTCCTTGTCTTTTGCCACAGCTTAACTGGCAGAAAACAAGGATGGCAGATTTAACAAATCCTGTTTAAAACTAAAGAGGCTCTTTTTTTTTTTTTTAAACTGAGGAGATTGACCCTCCTAAGCTCCCCATTGGTGCACACATTACTGTCAGGAGGACACTAAGCCACTCACGAAGGATCCGCCCCCATGACCCAAACACTCCCCAGTAGGCTCCACCTCCGACACTAGGGATCAAATTTCAACACGCGGTTTGGAGGAGCAAACATCCCAATTATAGCCTGCAGCAGTGGAATATTCTGCATCTTGATTGTGGTGGTGATTACACAGATCTGTACATGAGAGAAAATTATGTAGGACTACACACACAAATGAATGCAGGTTTTAAAAAAGTGGTGACAACTAAGGTCTGTAGCTAACAGTGTACTGATGTTGCTTTCCTGTTTTTGATATTTTGCTACTACTATGTAAGATGTCACCTTTGGGAAAACCTGAGTGAAGGGTACAGAGGACATTTTGTACTATTTTTTTGCAACTTCCTGTGAGTCTATAATTATTTCAAAATAAAAAGTTAAAAAAATTTATCTCATTCTGGCCAGGTGGGGTGGCTCATGTCTGTAATCTCAGCACTTGGGGAGGCTGAGGCAGGAAGATCACCTGAGGCCGGGAGTTCGAGCAAGGCAGCAGTGAGCTATGTTTGCACCACCATACTCCAGCCTGGGCGACAGAGCGAGATCCTGTCTCTAAAATATATACATACACACGCACACACG